TTTTTTTTTCTATAAAGTCAACTTTTTTAGATTCCATAGAGGAGTGAGAATGTGAAGACTGTCTTTCCATGCCTGGCTTATTATACTTAACATAATTTCCTGCAGTTCCATCTGCCACAAATGACAAGATTTCATTCTTTTTCATGGTTGAATAATATTATATGAGCCTGTGTGTATATGTGCATGCACGCGCAAATCATTTTCTTTATCCATTTAACTGTTAGTAGACACCTTACTTGATTCCAAGAATCCCCAATTTTTTGACACCAAGTATGTTTCCTTTGGTTGCTAATGTATTATTAATTTTTTCAGCATTTTTCTCAATTATGAAATGTATCTTTCTGCACTTAACTTTACAATTAATAAATCTGAACTAAGATTTTTCATAATGTAATAAAAAATAATAACTTGTGAGCTGGTGCAATGGCACATGCCTGTAATCCCAGGGACTCAAGAGGCTGAGGCAGGAGTATCAAAAATTTAAAGCCAACTTGAGCAATTTAGTGAGATATTGTATCAAAATAAAATATATAAAAGGACTGAGGATGTAGCTCAGGGGCAGAGCACCAATGGGTTCAATCTCCAATACCACATACACACACACTTGTGATAATTGTAGCACAGTTATGTAAACATTAGAAAACTAGATGAAGGATATAAGAGAACTTTAGGTTAACTTCTATCTTTGTAACCCTTCTTCAAGTAAAAATTCTTTGAAAAATAAAGCCTTAAAAAGCTTTGAATTTATGATCTAGTTTCAAGTCTTCCACCTACTAAATACAGGATAGAGTAATTAATTAATTACTCTGGAATTCAATTTCCTCATATGTAAAATAGAGTTGATAGATACTCTTTAGATTTCTTTATTTCTAAAACCAAAATCTCCTTATTAATATATTTGGTACCACTTGTAGATTATAACAAAAGTGTCAAAATCAAAGTCCAAAGAAATTTGACACATATTTTTGAATAAATTAATGCCACAACTTTGAGACCATTAATTCAGGTTCCTAGACTGGGATGGAGAAAAGACAGACACACATAACAGTAACAGACTTGTATCCATATGTTCTATCAACTAGGTTTAAATCATCTGTCTTTTCTATCCATAAAGTAACTTCAATGTATTCATAAAATACTTTATTCTGAGTGACTCCATGGCTCCTTTCCCCCAAGATGGTCCTTGTTTTAGTTTTTTCATTGTTGTGACTACTGTGGAGGAGGACAATTTTATTTAAGGCCTCACAGTTTCAGAGGTCTCAATCCATAGAATCCAGCTCCATCCCTCTGGGCTTGAGGTGAGGCAGAACATCATGGTGGAAGAGTGTGGTGTAGGGAAGCAGCTCATAGGACAGTCAAAGCAGAGACTTATTCTACTCTCCAGATACAAAATGTATACCCCATAGCCATGCCCCTAATGAACCACTTC